GGAGGAAAGTACTTGCACTGGTATAAAAATGGGTCAGCCTGACATGTTGGGTGGACTTTAATGTGAACAATGAAGGATATTTGCCCAGTGGGAAGATCAGCAAACAATTTATTTGTTATTCCCTTCATTTAGAGAGGGAGGTGACCTGAAGGGCAGATATATATTGAGCTTTGGCAGAGTTAATAACCTGATGGGCCTGGAAGAAATAAGACTAGAAAATCAGATACAAGGAGTATAAGCAAGAGGCATGTGGTTGCGCCTGCAGGAGTGAGCACAATCAAAATCACGCCTATCAGACAGTCAGTAATGCAGAGAAAGCTCTCTACTACCAGGTGGACATCATCACCTGTCCAGTGGATATGAGCCCGCCTCCTTTCTCAGTTACTCCAGAGTTCGTGCAATAGACCCATAAAGATAATGATCTATTGTGGCTGGATTTAGACCTTGGTGACAGAGACAGGGACAATGCATGGACCCAGGACATGGTCTCCCTTTCCAAAGCTAATATAGCTATTGTCACTTCTAACTATTAAATGCCAGAAACAGACTGACAATGAGCCACTGAGATGATATGATTCCTCCAGGATACCACAGTGACCCAACGCCTGCAGGGTGGCAGGCTAATTAAGTTGGATCCTCTCCACCTTGGAGCGGGCAGCAATTTGTCCTAAGTGGGTGAATTATGGTCTGGATACATGTTCGTCTTTCCCCTCATAGTGCCTTCACTGGCACCTGCGTCTGACAGCCTAAGAATGCCTAATCCAGTGATATAACGCCCCACATAATGCTGCTTCTACCAAGGGACATTTGCTGCTGTATCAGAGAAGACACAACAGTGAGCTTATGGTCACAATATGTTTTATCATCCACCAGCCGCAGGCCTGATGGAACAGTGGAATAATATTAATCCTGAAAAGCTCAGCTAAGACACCAGCATGAGGAAAAGCCTTAGAATTGGGATACTGCCCTCTAGGATTGGGATATACACCAAACCAATTGCTGATACAGAATGCTATATTTATCATACCCAGGGCTCACAGTTCTGGGACTAAGGGTAGATCCTTCCTATAGTCAATAGCAGTGATCCACTGATGGTATTTGCACTACCTTTCCCTAAAGCCTTATTCTTGGCCAGTTAGAACCCTAGTTCTTGCGGTGGAGGCAGGGGAGCAGTGCTGTTCTTTCAGTGGAAGCTGTGATTGATTCTACATGTGATCTGGTTACTATGTGTTCCTCATGATAATAGACTGACACAGATGGTATGAGATTACCGTACTCACCACATGAGGAGACAAGGAGATAGGGCTATTGCCACAAAATCTGAACAAGAAAAAATATGTCTGGAACTTGAAAGTACTCCATGCCCTGATGGGAAGGAGAAATTGCAGCAGCCAAGACTCCAAAGGAGTAAGAAAACGAAGGGCTTAATTCATCAGGATTTAGGTCTGCAACACCCTACTCAACATCGACTCAGAGCTGAAATGCTGAAATGCTGGTAGAATATGAGGGAAAGTCTGGGATTAGTGGTAAAGGAGATAGGTGATGAATATCAATTAAGGCCTTAAAGACCAGTTGGGGCATTGGATATTGTGGCTGAATTTACTACCACTCCTTTAAGTCTCTGGGGAATTGCAGCTTGCCATTACTCCAAAGGATTATACTTAAATTCTTCTCTCGGGAAAGATATGAGGGACTTTGAATTGATGCTATTGGGATATCAGCAGATGGTGCAAGTACATATAAGTTGTACATGGGGTTGTCTGTCCTGGGCCATTTGTGTTCTTTTCTATATTGGCTCAATCCTAACATCTCTTCACGTTTTTGACCACTTGCTCAATGGTGAGCCCCAGATAACTGTCACCTTAACTCTTAACACCATTAGCTATATCTGCCTTTCTCAAGGTGAACACCAGGCGTTAGCATGTCCCCAGTAGCAACCACCTTGGAAGGATTCACAGTAGTTGTGACAACTGTCATATGGGGACACACCCAGGAAAGTTCTGTCTCCATTAGAGTATTTTTTCCCCAGTGGCTACCCAAAAGGGCATATTATAAAATCATAAAGGCAGAGGACTTGATGAACTATACAATCAATTATTATCAATGAAACATAGAGTACCATAAGCAACTGACATATAAATGTCCCTCTCTCTGACTGTTAACAAACTGCTTCAAGGTGTAAAGGTTCTAAATGACTTCTTTAGATTTGTTTCACATGACCAAATAACCAGCCATGTTTTCATGTGAAGTTGTGCCCAGTTCAGTCATGTACCACCTGTGGCTGCTTTCTTCTCTTTCCTGTATCACTTCTTTTTTTAACCTCACTGTGGTTGACCTAGCATTGCTTGATGTCAGACTGTACTTCCTAGAGAATTTGGATTGAGATGCCAAGCAAAGTTTTTAATCTAGGAAGTTTTTGAACACTGAGTGACAAATTAAAATGTGATTATGAATAACTAGCCCTAGCCTCCCAGATTGGAAAGTTTACCAATTTTCATTCACCAAGTTATCTTCTATCCTGATCTGTTTTAATGTGTGAATATACTTCTCTATTTTAATGAAATTAATGTGCCCATTAATTTCTTTTTTAAAAAAAATGCAGTGACTCTCTTACTTGGCCCCATTTTGTTTTGCAATGTTTTCATTACTCTGTCTGGTTTATTACACTTTTATCATATAATTCTCCTGCATTTAACTTTTCTCAGTGCAAAGAGACAGTATGCTAGTTGCTTGCCCTTTTCTGAATGTGTACCGTTTTTACTGTCATCTCTTAGAACAAACAGGTTAATCAGTATGCTTCTCTCTATAAATTGTGGCATAATGGAAGAGTGCAATTAGTTTTTAACAAAAGTTATGGAATCCTCAACTTGTATTAAGACACTCCTCACATAATACTAAACTTTTCTGATAATATTTTGCCAAACTTATCTTAGGCAAGGGAATGTACGCCACCCCCAGTGTCCCAGAATGTAGTCAGGGGCTTCACTATCACTCTTTTACCTTCTGTGTCATCCCCTCTTTAATTATTCTTTTCGATGATGATTTAGAGATAATATGAATTGTAACCCTATGGTGCATCTATTAGTATTAAATAAGAATAATTAGCTAATGTTTTCATTATAGCTGTATATTGAAAGCAAAACTGAAAATTTACATAGTAACTTGATATATTATACTTGCTGTCTATCTCAGATTCAGCCTAGTTGCTCAGATTCTCCTACACTTGGATATGTCAAGCTTTTGGAATTACTCGTTTGCTTTAGTGGTTGTGGCTTTTGCCTGAGCTTGTACATCCTGCCATTTGAGTGCAAACAGAGAACTCAACACCCCCCTCCATCTTCAATCTTCTCTTTGTCTCCCCTTTCGTCATGAATTATTTTTTACTCTATTGTCTATTCATTAATTACTTTTTCTCCAATGAATGTTGCATCATGAATACTAATCTTTGGAAAAGTTGAGAGTGAGATGAATGTTCACAAAAATTATAAAGACCTCAGATGAAAATTGCAGCAATTCAACATTGCAATCCCATTGGAACAAAACAAAGACAGTTACAACCATTTGAAAGCAAGTCACATTTTTGTACACCATCCATTATTCCTGCATTTAACAGAATGTTAAAGATTCTACATCTTGTGAATTTATTAGCTTGGTATTTAGCGTGTTTCATGGCCAAAATAGCAAAGAAGCTTCATTATTACAGGTTAAATTAGCCTCATGAAAATGTTGTTGGTAAAATGTTACAGAAATGAATAAGAGATCTAACCAAGCAGCATATTGGACCATTTATCACTATAATTTTAAAAAGGCATTCTGATGATTTAAATTAATTGGCTAAAGGGTAGAGATTTAGATAAAAGTTAATAGTTGAAGCCCAAATGACATGGTTAGTTAGCTCTTCTTTTTAATAAAGAGGGAACAACGCATACTCATAAAATAGTTTTGTATATTGCCCTTTTGGCAGAAACTGAAGCCAAAAAAAAAAAAAAAACCATACCTGATAATACCTTTTATTATTTATTTATTTATTTTTGATTTGATTTATTTTGGAGACGAGTCTCACTCTGCCACCCAGGCTGGAGTGCAGTGGCTGCAATGGCACTATCTCAGTTCACTGCAGCCTTTACCTCCTGAGTTCAAGCGATTCTCCTGCCTCAGTCTCTCGAGTATTTGGGACTACAGGTGTGTGTCACCATGCCTGGCTAATTTTTGTATTTTTAGTAGAGAGGGAGTTTCACCACGTTGGCCCCGCTGCTCTCAAACTCCTGACCCCAGGTGATCCTTCCATCTTGGCCTCCCAAAGTGCTGGAATTACAGACGTGAGCCACCATGCCTGGCCAGGCTTTTGTTTGTTTTAAAGAAATATTCGTAACTATACTATGTATAAGCTGAATTACCTAAGCATCTCGTGTTTGCTTCCAACATGGTCAGATAGCCCTTCCCACATTCTTTGATTTTGTACAGTTGAAACTTAAAAACTTAGCCATCTTTATATAGAGGTTTTAGTATTTGCTTTTTTTTTTTTTTTTTTTAATTTGAGACGGACTCTTACATGTTGCCCAGGCTGGAGTGCAGTGGTGCGATCTTGGCTCACTGCAACCTCCGGTTCCTGGGTTCAAGTGATTTTCCTGCCTCAGCCTCCCAAGTAGCTAGAATTACAGGCACCTGCCACCATGCCCAGCTGTCTATTTGCTTTTTAACTAAATGTCTTCCCTATGTATGTAAGAATAGGAAGTCTACCATCTTTGTGAAAATTTTATCAGGGAATTTAACATTTCTTATTTTTTGCCCTTTGACATAATGTTTTTATTTGTGTGGTCTAAACTATTCATTTTTTATTTGTGCTAAAAAGCTTTTAAGAAATATTTAAGCTAATATGCTCACAGAACTTTCCTGGGAATGATGATGAAATAATTTTTTATTATTGCAACAACTCTGATTAAGGGTTGTGTGTCTATGGATTTAAGGTAAAAATAGTTTCTCTTTTTCACTCTTAACAGAAACCAGGAGATAAAAGAACTTGGTGAGCTTTCACCACATTGGGACAATCTGCGAAAAAACGTCCTTACTCACTGTGATCAAATGGTGAATATGTACCAAGACATTCTGACAGAACTTAGCAAGGAAACAGGTGTGGAAGCAAAAACTCTACTTACTTAAAGTGAATTGAATTTTCTGCATGTGTAATGAAAAAAAAAATTAAACACACTTTATAGAGATAGGAGAACTGGAGAATTTTTAAAACTCTTTTATTTCTAACTTTAACATCTTAAAACAAAGAAAACACTACCCTATTTTACCTTACAGTATTGTTATGTGAATAGTTGAGACAACTTTTTAAAATATTGAATTTCTGAGAGGAAAAACAAGTTATAAATATAGGATATGTTTTTCTTTTTGAAGTTCTTGTAACATTTTTCTGTCAGGTTTATCTTTTAACACACATATTAATTTATCATTATTTACTAATAATGTTTAATTTCTGATTTCCATCTAGGATCCTCTTTCAAATCAAGCAGCAGCAAAGGAGAGAAAACATTAGAATTTGTTCCAGTAAATCTACATCTGCAGAGAATGCAGGTACACAGCCCTCACTTGAAAGGTATCATCATAAATTATTCTTTTAAAAATGGCAAATTATGTTACAGTGTGTACTTCTTTAAACAGCTTGAATATTGGCAGAATTCAATAGTTTAACAGTTACATAAAGTTGAAAATGAAACAATTGAACCTCATAATGACCCTAAATGTTGCTAAAGAGACTATGATATTCTTGTTGCTGTATTTTTAGTAAATACTTTGTAAATGTAGCACTTGGATTGAGGTAGAGATAAAAATGCAAAATGGGTAGCAGCACATGTAAGTAGTATTAACAGTAGCTAATAGTTAACACTTGTGCTCATTTAAATTAGAAAAAAAAAGAAAAAACAAAATTTGTTTATATTTTTCCTGTCTTGAGAAATCAAAGCCCAAACATAGACTAATATGCTAGTTTTTAAATGTACTTCCTGGTAAATATCAACAGAAACTCCCTTTGCTATGAGAAAAAAAAGTGAGTATAGTAAGGTAGAAGGTGGTAGTGTATTCAAGTGTACTCAATTCTAAGAAATACTTGTCAAAGAGAAATATATAGGTTTCTCTGAACACACTTGATAAGGGTCCAGAGTGACCAATATGATGTCATATTTATTACCATTCTAAATCCCTTGCCACTTATCAAAAATATGTTTTTCAATGTCTTTTCACCTCCCCTTTTCATTAACTTATCGCTATAGCCTTTATGCAAATTTAGGATGACTGTATGCTCGTTTGCTGGCAAAAGTCTGAGACTATGTCCCCGTCGCTGCATATGCCTATGCCCAGTGTCAATGGCACCCTCGCTTCTTTTCCTTCTTAAAAGTCTTCCTTTTTAAATGACAAATGCTGTGGTCCTCCTACTAATACCCATCTTTTAGGGGGCTTTAGGATAAGTACGTGAAAATGTATACAAACATACATACAGAGACATCTAGATTCTCATTCCAGCACTGTTTTGTAGCCCTTGTCACAACATAGGAGTTAACAGGTTTAGAAAGGTTAAAACACAGAGCCATTGTATACCATTAGTGAAAATGTAAACTGGTGTAGCCACTATTGTAAAAACAAATATGGAGGTTCCTAAAAAATCTAAAACTAAAGCTACCATATGGTCCAAAATTCACACATCCAGGTATTTATCCAAAATAATTGAAATCAGTATCTCAAAGAGATGTTTGCACTCCCACATTCATTGCAGCATTGTTCACAGTAGCCAAGACAGAGAAATGTCCATCAATAGGTGAAAAGATAAATTGTGATATGTACAAAGAGTGGAATAGCGTTCAGCCTTATAAGGAAGGACATCCTGCCATTTGAGCAAACATGGATGAACCTGGAAGATATTATGCTAAGTTAAATAAGCCAGGACACAGAGGGACAAATACCACGTGATACTACTTTTAAGGAGGAATCTAAAATAGTCAACTGCATAGAAGCATAGGGTATAATGGTGGTTTCCAGAAGTCTTTGGGGAAGATGGAAAAAGGAGGCATTAATCAAAAGGTACAAAGTTGAAGTTATGCAAGATGAGTAAGTCCTAGATATCTACTATACAATATAGTGTCTATAGTTCACAGTATTATATTGTATACTTAAAAAACTGCTGAGAGAGCGGATCTTATGTTAAGTGTTCTTATTATACACATACACATTAACAATAATAGTGATAATAAAGTGAGTAAGGAAACTTTTGGAGATGATGGATAGGCTTATGGCATAAGTCGTGGCAATGGTTTAAAGAGTATATATTTATGTCAAACGTTATCAAGTTGCATACATATAATAGCTTTTTATATGTTAGTCATACCGCAGTCGTGGTTTTAAAAACTGAAAGTGAAATCTCAGTTCTACGTTAGAATTGTCTGAACTTTTGTAATTTGAAAAATTAAACTTTATTGTTTTCACATTTTTGCATACCAATCATGTATATACCGCTAGCTGATTTGAAAGTTTAAATGTGATTATAATGATTCTGATGTTTATGTTTTTATACTTGGTGATGAAGTAGATGAAATTTTAATTTAGGTCTTATTCATCACAAATTATGTCAAGTGAAAGAACAGAAAAACAAAAAGAGAGAGATGGATTGGCCCAAGGCATTTGAAAACTGCTGTGGTCTGAATGCGTCCCCCAAAATTCATGTGTTAGAAACTTAATCCCCAATGCAACAGTATTGGGAGGTGAGACCTAAGGGAAGGTATTTGGATCAAGAGAACTCTACACTTATGAGTGAATTAATGCCATGATAAAAAGAGCTTTCAGGAGCAAGTTCACCCTCTTTAGCTGCTATGCAAGGTCAAAAAGTTTATTCTCTCTTGCTTTTCCACCTTCTGCCATGTAAAATCACAGCAGAAGGCTGCCATCAGATACCAATGCCTTGATCTTAGAATTGCTAGCGTTCAGAACTGTTAGAGAATGATTTATATTTTATATATATTTTATATATTTTATATTTATATATTTTATATATTTTTATATAAGTTACCCAGTCCATAATATTATGTTATGGCAGCACAAAATGGGGTAAGACAGTAGTTCTTTTTTGCTTACTGTCTGTTAATAGTTTGAATAGAACAATATGTAATGAGTTTTAAAATAATAAAGTGTTAACAAGTATTGAAGAAGCTAAAACACCTAAGAGCTATCTGACAAGCAACATAATATTTTTCTAATAGCCAAAATGAAAAGCCTTTTATGATACAGTAAAATGTTTGTATTATTTTAGAGTGTAGCAGCCCTGGGCTTGAATTGTAGCAATGAGCTGAGTCCGCTATTTAGTCTTTCTAAGCCATTTCATTCTCATTCCTGATTGAGTTAGAGTATTTAAACACATAGAATGATAAAAATAATAGTAGTTTTATTATACATGTGGCATTTTCCATCACTGGAACAAAGTGGATCTGTCTGTTTTATCAGAGCTGATGACACTGGAGAAAATTGATCAGGTAAGAGCCTATTAAAAATCAACGAAGTCTTGAACTAAGGAAATAGCCAGATTTAGAGTAAAGATGATGTAGAGATACGTTTTGGAGAATTCATCACATGCAAATACTAAATGACTGATGTAATAAGGCAATGAGAAAAGGATAATTTGTTTTACAGCCATGGTTAGGTGACAGTGTCATCAAACCAGATAGATTTGTTTGGGGCCAAATACATATGAATTCATATTTAGTTATGCATTCAAATGTTTGTTGATTAACCTTAAAATACTTCCACCAAACAGATTATGATTAAAGTGGCCTTTTACTTCATACTTCTTTCTTGAAGATGAAAGAGTCATGTACTATGCTGTTTTCCAACATACCATCTGAAAAATGAGTAAAGTAGGGTGAAGGCAATATGTTTAGTTTCTGATTCTCCGATCTGAAAGAAAGAATCTGGCAACTAAAATAAAGAAATTTAGAAAAGCAAACAGAATGTGTGTGTCTGTGTGTGTGTGTGTGTGTGTGTGTGTGTGTGTGTAAGCATGCACTTTCTAGCTTGTTTGGTTTGGGATATGTATTAGTTTTCTAGGGCTGCCATAACAGAGCACCACAAACTGGGTTGTTGAAATAGCCAAACTTTTTCACAATTCCGGGGGATGGAAGTCTGAAATCAAAATGTCATGAGGGCCATGCTTCCTCTTAATCCTATAGAGTAATCCTTCCTTGTCCCTTCCTGGTATCCACTGGTTTGCTGGCAATCTTTGGCCTGCTGATGTAATATGCCAATCCTCTATCTTGCTCATGGTGTTCTTCTGCCTTCTGTGTATGTCTGTTTCTGTATCCAAATATCCCCTTTAAGGACATGAGTCGTATAGGATTAGGATCCATCTTAATGAGTTTATTTCAACTGGATTATATCTGTAAAGACCTTATCCAAATAAGATCACATTCTGACGTATCTTTCTTGTCGGGTACAAGTGAACCCACAACAGGATTTAGAAAGGAATTTCTTACTTGTAGTGACAAATATCAAGCAATATAGGAAAAACCAAAATTTTAATGGAACAAACCTAGGGTAAAACGCATGAACTAGAAGATTTTTGACAAAGCAGTTAGCAGAAAGACTGGTTCTGGTCTTTGAAGAGCTAAGAAGAAAATATGGCGATAAACTAGATATCGTAAGGGCCATATTAATGGGAAACGTACTGAATTGTATTGCATATATAACTGCATGTTAAATTATCAAGCTTATATTTTAAAGATATTTACATAATATTAAAAGTTATTATTTGAAACTGGAGTTCAGATTAAGTAGCTGCTATGTAGACTAGATCACCAATCAGAGGCTGAAAACTCCACTGAAATTTTGGGCCCTTACCACTTACTGCTTTGACTTTAACCATGTTATTTGACCTCTCTTAGTGTCATTTAATTATTTTCAAAATGAAAAGGTTAAAAGTTGTCATAGGTGGTAGTGATTCAAATTTTCTACTTTCTTATATAACATATAGTTAACAGATTTTAGATTGCAGTTAAATTTATTTAAGATTTGTGGCTACTGATTTGAATGTTTAGCTGAATTATTATTGCAAGATAATAATGCAAGTAAGATGGGCTAAGCCTTGGTGTTTTACTGGCAAGTTATTTGGATGTGGTCTAATTTTTTTATTCTTACCATTAGTAAATTGAGTCTATTCACATTTGATTAATAAACCTGCTGTATTTGAAGTGGAAGCTTTGCAAACAATAGCTGGCAGATCCACCAAATACGAGGCTAGTATCTAGTTCTTGAAATAAATAACTGAGCAGAACTAATGCTGTCATGTGTCCTACTGACAAAGGAAATAACCTCCAGTTAACTTAGGGTGCCCTAAAACTCATTAAGATTTTCATCCTTATTCATTACTTAAATTAAATGCAACAAGTAGAATACTTACCATAGTAGATCTCAGCCAGCAGTGACAGGAATGAAACATAAACCCCAAAATTAAAAACAAAAGTTTTTATACTAATATACTTTAGTACATTTTATTTTCATAGCACATCAGTTGTGAACATTATGGACTATAAACTCCTATAATGTAATATTCTGTTTTAT